GATTCAATATTTACCTTTCATTAATAACTTTATATATTAACGGACTGAACTCCCCAATCAAAAGACACAAACTAGGTGAATGGGTTAAGAAACAAAACCCATCTTTTTGTTGTCTACAAGAAACCCATCTCACTTTCAAGAACAGACACTATCTTAAAGTGAAAGGATGGAAAAAAATATACCAAGCAAATAGTACTAAGAAAAAAGCAGGCATAGCAATTCTAATATCTGACAAAATAAACTTTAAACTAAAACAACTCAGAAGAAATAAAGAGGGCCACTTCATACTGATCAAAGGAATAATAAATCAAGAAGATATTACAATCATGGATGTATATTCATGAAACTCTGGTGCACCCCACTTCATACAAACAATACTACAAAACTTTAAGACCCAGATTAATCCCAACTCATTAATAGTAGGGGACTTCAATACCCCACTGTCTCCATTAGATAGGTCAATAGGGCAGAGAGTTAACAGAGAGACATCTGAATTAATACCACATATCAAATGGATTTAACAGACATCTACCAAGTATTCCACCCAAGCATCAAAGGACATACTTTCTACTCAGCGCCCATGGAAGCTTCTCCAAAATCAATCATATACTGGGAAATAATTACATACGTTCTATCACACCACAATGCAATGAAGCTTATAATCAACACCCGAAGAAGCCCTAATCACCACATGAACACATGGAGGTTAAACAGCACACTCCTAAATGATCAATGGGTCAAAAGAGAAATTAAGAAAGAAATAAAAGTATTCCTGGAACTAAATGAAAAGGACAATACAACACAATACAACACAACAAAACTTCTGGGACACACTGAAAGCGGTCCTTAGAGGGAAGTTTATAGCTCTAAGTGCCTACATCAAAAAATCGGAAAGAATACAAACGACTTAACATTGCAACTCAAGACACTTGAAAAGCAACAACAAATGAAAAACAAACCCAGCAGACAAGAAGAAATAAAAAATTCAGGTCAGAAATTAATGAAATCGAAAAAAAGAAAACAATATGAAGAATCAACGAATCCAAGAGCTGGTTCTTTCAAAAGATAAACAAAATTGACAGACCGCTAGCCCAGTTAATGAAAAGAAAGAAAGACCACCTCCAAATCAACAAAATCAGAGATGAAAGGGGAAACATCACAACAGACACCAGAAAGATGCAGAACATTATAAGGGAATACTTTAAAAACCTATATGCTACTAAATTTGAAAACCTAAAAGAAATGGATGGATATCTAAAGGCATGGGAACCACCAAAACTAAACCAAGAAGAAATTAACAGCTTAAACAGACCCATATCACAAAAAGAAATTG